CTCCTCTCTCTCTAAAATAGATAAATTTTAGGGTGCCTGGGTGGCTCAGTTGGTTAAGCGACTGCCTTCGGCTCAGGTCATGATCCTGGAGTCCCGGGATCGAGTCCCGCATCGGGCTCCCTGCTCAGCAGGGAGTCTGCTTCTCCCTCTGACCCTTCCCCCTCTCATGCTCTCTATCTCATTCTCTCTCAAAAAAATAAATAAAATCTTTAAAAAAATAAAATAAAATAGATAAATTTAAAAAAAATTTTTTTTAATGATTTAACAAATGATTAAAGGAAAAATGTTAGGAATCAGAACTCCAAAGAATAAGACATTATAGGGGCGTAGATGTGTAGAAGAACCAAGTAGAACTTTTAAAAATGAAACATGCACTCCATGAAACAAACTTTTTTTTTTTGAGAGAGAGAGAGCGCAAGAGAGTGAGGGGGGAGGAGGGGGCGAGGGAGAGGAGAGAGAGAATCTTAAGCAGGCTCCACTCTCAGCGCAGAGCGTGACACAGGGCTCAATCTCACAATGCTGAGATCAAAATCAAGAGTCAAAATCAAGAGTCGGATGCTTAACTGACAGAGCCACCCAGATGCCTCGAAACAAACTTTTAAAAAGGAAATGAGTTACATAGCAGGTTAAAATAGCTAAAATCAAAACTAGCCAGCTGGGAGACATGTCTGTGGAACAACTTCTCTATGCCCATAATGCACCGAGAGCTAAAATGAGGGGAAGTTAGAAGGCATCGAAGAAAGAATAACAGAAGTGAACACAGGTCTAGGAGGATCCTCTAAGGAGAAAGAAAGAACAGGGGAAGGGCAATATTTAAAGACATAACGATGACTATATTTTCAGAACTGTCAAAAGACACAAGTTTAAAGATTCAAGAAGCACAAACCCGACCCATGCTTAGAAATGGTAAGTCTTCATTTTGAACCATCACAGTGGGGCGCTTGGGTGGCTCAGTCATTAAGGGTCTGCCTTTGGCTCAGATCATGATCCCAGTGTCCTGGGATCGAGCCTCGCATCGAGCCCCGCATCGGGCTCCCTGCTCAGCAGGAAGCCTGCTTCTCCCTCTCCCCTCCCCCTGCTTGTGTTCCCTCTCTCACTGTCTCTCTCTGTCAAATAAATAAATAAAATCTTTTAGGGGCGCCTGGATGGCTCAGTCGTTAAGCGTCTGCCTTCAGCTCAGGTCATGGTCCCAGGGTCCTGGGATCGAGCCCCGCATTGGGCTCCCTGCTCAGCGGGAAGCCTGCTTCTCCCTCTCCCACTCCCCCTGCTTGTGTTCCTTCTCTCACTCTGTCTCTGTCAAATAAATTTAAAAAATCTTTAAAAAATAAAAAAATAAATGAAATCTTTAAAAAAAAAAAAAAGAAAGAAACCATCACAGTGAATGTGCAAAACAAAAGCAAAAACGGGGAAAAAAAAAAGTTTAAAGCTACCAGAGGGGAAAAAATGCTGATTATCTAACCATAATGATGAGGGAGCAGAAGGCAAGCTGAGGACAAATCACAGCTGACACCCCACAACCACCCTCCAGCCTCCCAGCCCCTCCACACCCAACTCCTGGGTGGGATATGTGTGACATTCCTCCAGGAAACTCCCGACTGTCTTTTTTTAATTCATTTGAGAGAGAGAGACAGAGAGAGCACAAACAGGGGGAGAGGCAAAGGGAGAGGGAGAGGGAGAAGCAGACCCCCAGTTAAGGTGGACCTCAATCCCAGGACTTAGACATCATGCCCTGAGCCACCCAGGGGACCCTCCAGGCTGTCTTAATGTTAATGCTTTGTTAGAGGGAAAAACAACCTTAGCTTGACAATAGCAAGGCCTCCAGTGTCCTCAGGGTCTTCTTTAGCAAATGAAAGTCCTTTTGGGGGCGCCTGGGTGGCTCAGTCGTTAAGCGTCTGCCTGCCTTCGGCTCAGGTCATGATCCCAGGGTCCTGGGATGGAGTCCCACATCGGGCTCCCGGCTCGGCAGGAAGACCGCTTCTCCCTCTCCCACTCCCCCTGCCTGTGTTCCTGCTCTCGCTATCTCTCTGTCAAATAAATAAATAAAATCTTAAAAAAAAATAAAAATTAAAAAAAAAAAAAAGAAAGTCCTTTTGGGTACCTCCGTTTTTCCTTACCTCCCCCAACTCCCAAGTATATAATCAGCCATTACTCACAACCCCAGGGTGGCAGCTTTTTCTGCCCGCAGGTCTTTAATAAAAATCACCTTTTTGCACCAAAGATGTCTCAAGAATTCTTTCTTGGCCATTGGCTCAGGACCTCACCAATATTCCAAAACTACATCAGTAAGACTGACAGCAGAGGGGTGCCTCCTGGCTGGCTCAGTCAGAGGAGTGTGCAACTCTTTTTTTTTTTTTTTAAGATTTTATTTATTTATCTGAGAGAGAGAATGGGAGACAGAGAGCATGAGAGGGGGAGGATCAGAGGGAGAAGCACACTCCCCGCTGAGCAGGGAGCCCGATGTGGGACTCGATCCCGGGACTCCAGGATCATGAACCGAGCCGAAGGCAGTTGCTTAACCAACTGAGCCACCCAGGTGCCCCATGGAGCATGCAACTCTTGATCTCGGGGTCATGAGTTTGAGCTAACTTAAAAAATAAAAAGAGTTCTAGGGTCCTTATCTTGTTTGGGATTAATTTTAGGCTTTGTTGAATCAAAAATGCATGCTGGATACTGAATGACAATTTCTAAAATACTTTAAATAGAATTATTATAAGAAAGGTTGGGGGAAGGAATAAAAGGTATTGACCAATTTAATACAATGACATAAATAATTCAAATACATCAGTAATCACAATAAATGCAAATGGACTAACCTGCCAATTAAAGGGTTATATGATTATATGCTATTAATAATATTTAACCATCTGCTATTCGCAAGAGGCTCACCTAAAAATACAAAGATTCAGAAAGGCTAAATGTAAGGAAATGAGGGAAAAACATGCAAGGCAAAAGAAAGCTGGTGTGCAGGTGTGTCCCACACATTAGTATGGACATAGTCAAGCAGACTTTAAGTCAAAAACAGAACAAAACAAAACACTAGTAGGAATAAAGAGGGTCACTACATGATGTTAAAAGGATCAGTTGACCAAGAAGATAAAAGAATTTAAACGTGTATGCCCATAACAACAGTCTCCAAATACACAATGCAAAAATTTACAGACTTATGAAAATAAATTTGACAAATCCACAATCACAGTGAAAGACATTAAAATACCTCCCCCACCAGTTGAGAGCTAGATCAAGCAGACAAAAATTGGTATGGACAAAAAAGATTTAAACGACCTTCATAGGGGCGCCTGACTGGCTCAGTCGGAAGAGCATGGGATCCTTGATCTTAGGGTCGTGAGTTGGACCCCAATGTTGAGTGTAAAGATTACTTAAACAAAAAATCCTGGGGCACCTGGGTGGCTCAGTCAGTTAAGCATCTGATTTTGGCTCAGGTCATGATCTCAGCTCAGGTCATGATCTCGGTGTCCTGGGATGGAGCCTGACGGTGGGCTCTGTACTCTACAGGGTGTCTGCTTTTCCCTTTCACTCTCGCTCTGCCCCTCCCCTTGCTCAGGCTCTCAATCTCCCCCCACCCTCTAATAAATAAATAAATAAAATATTTAAAAAAATAAAAAAATCTAAAAAACAAAATAGAAATAAACTACCCTCATAAAGCTCCGTATGTGATAATTACAGAATACACATGGACCAGTTTCAAAAACTGACCACATGCTAAGTTAGAAACAAGTCTTTTTTTTTTTTTAAAGATTTTATTTATTTATTTGAGAGAGAGAATGAGAGAGAGAGAGCATGAGAGGGGGAGAGTCAGAGGGAGAAGCAGACTCCCTGCCGAGCAGGGAGCCCGATGCGGGACTCGATCCCGGGACTCCAGGAGCATGACCTGAGCCGAAGGCAGTCGCTTAATCAACTGAGCCACCCAGGCGCCCAGAAACAAGTCTTAATAAATACCAAAAATTGGGCGCCTGGGTGGCTCAGTTGTTTAAGCGACTGCCTTCGGCTCAGGTCATGCTCCTGGAGTCCCGGGATCGAGTCCCGCATCGGGCTCCCTGCTCGGCAGGGAGTCTGCTTCTCCCTCTGACTCTCCCCCTCTCATGCTGTCTATCACTATCTCTCTCAATAAATAAATAAAAATCTTTTAAAAATAAATAAATAAATAAATAAATAAATACCAAAAAATTACTATCATGCATATCATATTCTCTGGCTACATTACAATATAGAGAGAACTCAGTGAGACAAAACATAAGCAAATCCCCATGCATTCAAAACTTGAAAATAGGGGCGCCTGGGTGGCTCAGTTGGTTAGGCAGCTGCCTTCGGTTCAGGTCATGATCCCAGGGTCCTGGGATCGGGTCCTGCATCGGGCTCCCTGCTCAGTGGGGAGTCTGCTTCTCCCTCTCCCTCTGATCTCTCTCGCTCTCACTCTCTCGAATAAATAAATTAAAAAAAAAAAAAACTTGAAAATACACTTCTCAGCATTTACTAGTCAAAGAAGAAATGAAAACGCCATATAACAAAACTGGGAGGATATGGCTACAGGAATACGTAAGGCAAAATTCATAACCTTAAATACACATGTTAGAAATAAAGACCAAAAGTCAGTGAGCTGGGCAGTCAACTCAGAAAGTTAGAGGGGGATAAAACAAAACAGAAAAATCCCAAAGAAAGAATAAAAGAAACAATAAAATTGAGAACAAATGAAAGAGGGGCCTCCAACCCAAAATTGGGTCTTTTAAAAGCCTAATAAATCCTTTGGCAAAAGATGTAAAGAGAGAGAGAGAATAGAAATAAAAACTTTTGGAAGGAAAAAGGACCATATTACAGATACAGGAGAGGTTGCACTATGAACCACTTCAGGATAGTAAATTTTAAATCTTACGTGGAATAGGTAATATGTCTTTTTTTTTTTAAATTTAAATTCCATTAGCCAACTTATAGTACATCATTAGTTTCAGATGGAATAGGTAATATGTCTTAAAAATATAACTTACCAGGGCACCTGGGTGGCTCAGTCAGTTAAGCATCTGCCTTCAGCTCAGGTCATGATCCCAGGGTCCTGGGATCAAGTCCCTCCTCAGGCTCACTGCTCAGTGGGGAGCCTGCTTCTCCCTCTTCTCTGCCGCTCCATCCTGCTCGTGCTCTATCTCTCCCTCTCAAGTAAATAAATGAAGTCTTTAAAAAAAAAAAAAGAAAACTCTGATAAGTGAATGTTTAAAAAAAAAAGTTAACTTATCAAAATGTATTTAAGAACCTGAAAAACCACGGGCACCTGGATGGCTCAGTTGGTTGAGCGTCAGACTTTGGCTTCAGCTCAAGTCATGGTCTCAGGGACCATCGAGCCCCACGTCGGGCTCCAAGCTCAGCGGGGAGCCTGCTTGAGATTCTCCCCCTCTGCCCCTGTTTGCTCTTTCTCTCTCTCTAAAATAAATAAATAAATCTTTAAGAAAAAAAGGAATCGAAAACTCAAATAAATCTGTAACCATTTCTGAAATGGGTAGTTTAATACCCAACCACCCACTGGTTCTAGTGAGGGAATGGATAAGTACATTGTGGTTTATTCATACAATGGAATACCATATAGCTGTTCAAAAGAACGAACTTGTTCCACAAACATCAACATGAGTCAATCCGAGAAATATACTTTGGGATGGAAGTGTACAAAAGGAACCAAAAAGGAACGGTACAGTCTGATACCACTGTATAAAATGGTAGCATACAAACCCAGTGGCCATCCTGGCTCCTTAGAGAGGAAAAGGCTGTATGTAAGTCAGCAGGGAGAGGTGGGGGCCATGGAGCCCAGCATGGCCCGAGGGGGTTGATACTCCGCTCCAGTGCCTGGTGCCACAAACAAATAAAAGCCCACAGTCATCAGATCTTCCCAGTCCTTGAAGACAAACAAGAAATCAAGACATTTGAGCGAATTATGTTCCAATTCTTTGAAAGACTTATGTCGGGGGTGGAGAGTCTTCTGTAGGAGGGTAAACTTGGTCCATGGATCCCCAGGTTGTGACTTTGGCCCAAGCCACAAGAAGTCAGGTCTAGGTTTGAGAAGCAGCTCTGGGGAGGACCGGCCGATCAGCGAGCCTGGGAGCAACCTCGATTCTGCCCAGTGAGTAAATGACTCCACCCCTGTGACCTCAGTCGTCACGAGGCCATACTACACCACCACAGGTTCCTTGGCTAGGGTCCTCAGAGCCAAGGGGCCCCCAGCTACGGCCCTGGGCATCCCTTCCTTCTTCTCCCTGCTCCATCCCCCTCTCGTGACCCAGAGGCCTAGGGAGCCAGACCTCAGGTGTCCAGAGGCCAAAAGGCTAAAATCAGTCTTGTGCTAAAGGAGACAACTGTCCAGTGGGGAAGGGAGGTAACGTAAATGACCAGCTGCCACAGTACTGCTTGACGACGCGATCAAAGGGGCACACCTGGGAGAAACAAGGAAGTTTTCATATTGTAATAATCACAGTAATAAGTTTTTTTTTTTTTAAGATTTTATTTATTTATTTGACAGAGAGATAGAGAGAGAGCACAAGTAGGCAAAGAAGCAGGCAGATGGAGAGGGAGAAGCAGGCTCCCTGCCGAGCAGGGAGCCCGATGCGGGGCTCGATCCCAGGACCCCGGGATCATGACCTGAGCCGAAGGCAGACGCTTAATGACTGAGCCACCTAGGTGCCCCAATTTTTTTATTTTTTAATTTAAATTCAATTAATTAACATATAGTGTATTATTAGTTTCAGAGGTAGAGTTCAGTGATTCATCAGTCCTATATATTAATACCCAGTGCTCACTACATCACGTACCTTCCTTAATGTCCATCACCCACTTACCACATCCCCCCACCCCTCCAGCAAAGGCATTTCGCATTTATTTCACAAAATTTCTTTCTTTTTTTTTTTTTAAGATTTTATTTATTTATTTGAGAGACAGAGAATGTGCACACAGAGGAGAGGCAGAAGGAGAGGGAAAGTCTTTTTTTTTTTTTTTAAGATTTTATTTATTTGAGAGAAAGAGAATGAGAGACAGAGACCAAGAGAGGGAAGAGGGCAGAGGGAGAAGCAGACCCCCTGCTGAGCAGGGAGCCTGATGTGGGACTCGATTCTGGGACTCCAGGATCATGACCTGAGCCGAAGGCAGTCGCTTAACCAACTGAGCCACCCAGGCGCCCAGGAGAGGGAAAGTCTTTAAGCAGACTCTACCCTGTGCACAGAGCCCCACATAGGGCTCAATCTCATGACCCGGAAATCATGACCTAAGCTGAAACCAAGAGTTGTACGCTTCATCAACTGAGCCACTGAGGTGCCCCCACAAAATTTATTTCTAAAAAGTGTTTAGGATGCACGAGCTAAGGTCAGTGAAATTAAACATTTATTGTATTGCAAATACAAATATTTTAACAAAATATTAAGTTAAAACTTACATTTATAAAAAACATTAATGTTTAGCAGATTAAAAAGGATAAAAATTGGGGCACCTGGGTGGCTCCACCGTTAAGCGTCTGCCTTCGGCTCAGGTCATGATCCCAGGGTCCTGGGATCGAGCCCCACATTGGGCTCCCTGCTCAGCGGGAAGCCTGCTTCTCCCTCTCCCACTCCCCCTGCTTGTGTTCCCTCTCTCGCTGTTTCTCTGTCAAATAAATAAATAAAATCTTAAAAAAAAAAAAAAAGAGTCCTTTTAAAAAATAAAGCATATTGGGGTGCCTGGCTGGCTGGGTGGCTGGAGCATGCAACTTTTGATCTCAGGGTTGTAAGTTTCAGCCCCACTATGGGTGTACAGATTACTTAAAAACAAAATCTTGAGGGGGCCTGGGTGACTCAGTCGGTTAAGCGTCTGCCTTCAGCTCAGGTCATGATCCCGGGGCCCTGGGATTAAGTCCCGTGTGGAGCTCTGTGCTTAGCGGAGAGCCTGCTTCTCCCTCTCCCTCTGCTGCTCCCCCTGCTTGTGCTCTCTCTCTCTCTCTGTCAGATAAATAAGTAAAATCTTTAAAAAAAAATCTTGAAAATAAATAAAATAAAGCATATGAAACCAAAGATATAAGAAAACCATAGATCAATATCCTTTATGATTACAGATACAAAAATCCTCAACAAAGTACTAGCAAATCAAACCCAGCAATAAATAAAAAGGATTCTACACCATGACCAAGTGGGATTTATCCCCAGAATACAAGGTTGCTTTAACATCCAAAAATCTATTAATATAATATACTACATCAATAGAATATGGACAAAACCTCAAAAAAAAAAAAAAAACACACACACAGAAAAAGCATTTGACAAAATTCAATATCCCTTCATGATAAGTCACTCAAAAGCCAGCAACACGAGGTAAAAGCATGGCTGGCTCAGTTGGTAAAAGCATGAGACTCCTGATCTTGGGGTCTTGAGTTTAGCCCCACATTAGACATAGAGTCTACTTAAAAACAAACAAACAATAACAACAATAACAAAACCATCAACAAAAGAGAACGGTCTTTCTGATACAGGGCATTTATGAAAAACCCACAGCTAATGTCATACTCAATGGTGAGAGATTGGATGTTTTCCTCCTAAGATCAGGAACAAAAGAAGGATGCCTACTCTCACCACTTCTGTTCAAATCTTTTTCCAGAGCAATGAGGCTAGAAAATGAAATAAAAATGAATCCAGATTGGAAAGGAAGAAGTAAAATGACCTCTATTTGCAGATGACATGATCTTATACAGGGAAAACCCTAAGGAATCCACTTCAAAGCTATTAAAACTACCAAGTGGGATTCAGCAAGGTTGCAGTTTACAAGATCGACACATGAAAGTCAATGGTATTTCTATACATTAACAATGAGCAAACTAAAAAAGAACTTCCACTTTACAATGGCATCAAAAACTTGGGAATAAATTTAACAAAAGAAGTACAAAACTCATATAATTGACCCTTGAGCAACACAGATTGAACCGTATCGGTTCACTTACACGTGGATTTTTTTTTTGATACAGTGCAATGATGTAAATATATTTTCCTTATGATTTTCCCAATAACATTTTCTTTTCTCTGGCTTACCCTAAGAATACAGTCTATAATATGTATATTAAAATATGTTAATCGACTAGTTATGTTATCAGTAAGGCTTCTAGTCAACAGTAAGCTACTAGTAGTTAAGTTTTGAGGAAGCCAAAAGTTATACACAGGCTCTCAAACGCACAGGGGGCCAGGACCTCTAGCCCCCGTGTTGTCTGAGCATCAACTGTACTCTGAAAACTGCAAAACATTGGTGAAAGAAATAAATGGCAACCTAAATAAATGTTCACAGATCTGAAGACTTAAGCTGGCAATATTCCCAAATCAATCTGCAGGCTCAATGCCATGCCTATTGATATCTTGCTGACTTCTCTCAAGAGAATGACAAATTGATCCTAAAATTCATATGGAGGGGCACCTGGGTGGCTCAGTCATTAAGCGTCTGCCTTCGGCTCAGGTCATGATCCCGGGGTCCTGGGATCGAGTCCCACATCGAGCTCCCTGCTCAGCGGGAAGCCTGCTTCTCCCTCTCCCACTCCCCCTGCTTGTGTTCCCTCTCTCGCTGTCAAATAAATAAAATCTTTAAAAACATAAAATAAAATAAAATTCATATGGAAATTCAAGAGACCTCAAATAGCCAAAACAATCTTGAAAAAAAAAAGGAACAGAATTGGATGACTCACATTTCTTGAAAACTCACTGCAAAGCAACAGTGATCAAGACACTGAGGTGCTGGTATAAGGCTAGACTCATAGACCAAGAGAATAGAGAGTCCAGAAATAAACTCACATATTTACAGTCAAATCATTTTTTAAAGATTTATTTATTTATTTTAGAGAGAGAGAGGACACAAACGGGAGGGGCAGAGGGAGAGAATCCTCAACCAGACTCCATACTTAGCACGGAGCCTGACAAAATGATTTTTGACCAGGGGCAGGCACCTGGGTGGTTCAGCCGGTTGGGCATCTGACTCTTTGGATCTCAGCTCAGGTCTTGGTCTCAGGGTCATGAGTTCAAACCCATGTTGGGCTCCACTCTGGGTGTGGAGCCTACTTAAAAAAAAAAAAGATTTTTGACCAGGGTGCCAACACAATTCAATGGGAAAAGAATAGTCTTCAACAAATGGTGCGGGGACAACTGGATATCCACACATGAATAAATGAAGTTGAAGCCCTATGTCACATCATATATAAAAATTAACTTGGCGCACCTGGCTGTCTCAACCATTGGAGCGTGCAACTCTTGATCTCAAGGTTAAGTTCAAGCCCCACATTGGGTGTAGGCACTACTTTAAAATAAAATTTAAGGGGCTCCTGGGTAGCTCAGTCGTTACGTGTCTGCCTTCGGCTCAGGTCATGATCCCAGGGTCCTTGGATTGAGCCCCGCATCGGGCTCCCTGCTCAGCAGGAGGCCTGCTTCTCTCTCTCCCACTCCCCCTGCTTGTGTTCCCTCTCTCGTTGTGTCTCTCTCTGTCAAATAAATAAATAAAATCTTTAAAAAGTAAAAAAAATAATAAAATTAAATTAAAAAAAAAATTAACTCAGGGCATCTGGGTGGCTCAGTTTGTTAAGCGTTTGCCTTCGGCTCAGTTCATGATCCCAGGGTCCTGGGATCAAGCCCCACATCAGGCTCCCTGCTCAGCAGTAGAGTCTGCTTCTCCCTCTCCCTCTGCCTGCCATTCCGCCTGCTTGTTCTATCTCTCTGTCAGATAAATAAATAAAATCTTAAAAAAAAAGAACTGAAACTATAAAACTCCAGAAGAAAACATAGGCATGAATCTTTGTGACCAGATTAGGCAATGGTTTCTTAGACACGATATTTAAAGCATAAGCAACTAAATAAAACATACATAAATTGGACAGGATTAAAATTTAAAAATTTTATGCTTCAGATGACACCATTAAAAAAGTGAAAAAAAAAATGGGAGAATTCTGTAAACCATATGTCTGATAAGGGTCTTGTATCTAGATTATATAAAATACTCTTACAATTAAATAATAATAAGATAAACAACCCAATTTAAAAATGGGCAAAGGACCTGAACACACATTTCCCCAAATAAGATCTATAAACGGCCAATAAGCACATGCAAAGATGTTCCCGGCCATCAGGGAAATGCACATCGAAACCATGAGATACCACTTCGTATCCATGAGATGGTTATAATCAAAAAGACAGTTAACAACCAGTGTTGGCGAGGATGGGGAGACACAGGAACCCTTACACGCTGCTGGTGGGAATGTAAAATAGCGCAGCCACTTAGGAAAACAGTCTGGAAGTTCCTCAAAAAGTTAAACACAGAATTACCAAATGACCCAGCATTTCCACCTCTAGGTGTATACCCACGAGAAGGGAAAATGAGTCCACACAAAGACTTGTACACAAATGTTCACAGCAGCATTGTTCATACGTGGCCAAAAATGGAAACAACCCAAATGTGCATCAACTGCAGAATGGATAAATAAAATGGGGTCTACTCATACAATGAAATTTTATTTGGCAATAAAAAGAACAAGACACTGATAACATGCTACAGGATGGAGGAACCCTGAAAACATTATGCTGAGTGAAAGAAGCCAGTCCCAAAGGACCACATAATGTAGGACTCCATTTATATGGAATGTCCAGAATAGGCAAATCTGTAAAGATAGAAGGTAGATTAGTTGGGCCCTAGCTCTGGGGAGGAGGTGGGGATTTGGGAGTTAAGACTAAGGGGAGCATTGCCCATTCTTTCAGTAATGAAAATGTTCTGGGGCACCTGGGTGGCTCAGTTGGTTAAGTGTTCTACTCTTGATCTCAGCTCAGGTCTGGATCTCAGGGTCAGGAGTTCAAGCCCCACATTGAGCTCCACACTGGATGTGGAGAGAGAGAGAGAGAGAGAGAGAAGGGGGAGAGAGGGAGGGAGAGAGAGTGAGAAGGAGAGGGAAAGGAAGGAAGGAAGAAAGAAAGAGAGAGAGAAAGAGAAAGAAAGAAAGAAAGAAGAAAGAAAGAAAGAAAGAAGAAAGAAAGAAAAAGAAAGAAAGAAAGAAAGAAAGAAAGAAAGAAAGAAAGAAAGAAAGAAAGAAAGAAAGAAAGGAGGGAAGAAAGGGAGGGAGGAAATGAGGGAGGGGGATGGGGAGGGAAGGAAGGAAGGAAGGAAGAAAGAAAGAAGGGAGGGAAGGAAGGGAGGGAGGAAATGAAGGAGGGGGACGGGGGAAGGAAGGAAGGAAGGAAGGAAATGTTTTAAAATTGTGTTGATGGTTACACAACTCCGTAATACTACAAACCACTGAATCATATACTTTAATGGGTGAATTACATAGTATATGAATTACATCTCAATAAAACTGTCAAAAACAATCCTAATAGAGCACATGAGTGGTGCTATTATCGAATCACAGGGTCTTTGGGTCCACGGAGGTCCAGTGGCTGCGGAAGCTCTTTGCAATGCTACCCAAGTTGACGGACGGGAGGAAATGGGATGATGAAGAAAGGCTTTTAATCTAATTTTCATCGGATTCCTGTCTCCATAGAAGCAACCAGTATTTACTGAGCATCCTCTATGACGCAGGCCCTGCTGCAGGTGCTAAGACTTTATCAGCAAGCAAAACAAACAAACAAACAAAAACTCCCTGCTCTCAGGACAGACAGACCTTAAATATGAAAACGATAGATGATATCTCAGGTGAGAGAAGAGCTGGCGGGAACTGGGGACTGCTGCCATTTCCAGTAGAGCAGTTAGGGAGGGCTTCTCTGAGCAGAAGCCTAAAGGAAGCGAAGGTGGACGCCATGTGGATATTAAGGGGACAGCAGGTGCAAAGGCTGGAGGGTTGGGGCGTTAGGCGCACGGAGCAAAGAAACCAGCATGGCTGGGCTGAGAGCTGTAGGAGAGACAGAGAGCTGGGAGGGGAGGAGACCACAGGAGGGGCTCTGGCTCCTATTCAGGATGGGCGGGTGGGAGCAGAGACGATGGCACAACCTGATCTCAGTTTTCCAAGAAACGCTAAACCGACTGAGCCACCCAGGCATCCCGAGATCTTTTTAAACAGGTTTTTTTTTTTCCAGTAATTTTGCCAAGTCCGCAAGCTTCTAGTGTTAGTGGGCTATAGTTTTGGTTACAAAGACAGCATATTCAATGCTTTGTTTTGTTCTTTACGTTCATCATGTATAGATGGAGCACTCCACGAGTCAATTTCCATTTTTCTCATCCTCAGATTCACTTGTTTGGAAAGTCTCTGACCCAGAGTAACATGCTTGTAACGGAAACTTTGCAGTAGCTGAACATAGATGCTTACTGAGATTCACACAGGAGCGGATCTGTACAAATCTGCAGAGTATCAGTATGTCTTTTCACAGAAATTGACTATTTAAATCACTGATCTCAATCTCAACGTAAAAATGATTCATACTCGGGTTATTTTAAATAAGGTAATAATATCACATCAACAAAACAATATTTCAGAACTTAAAAATACCCGAATGCTAAAAACTGAGATCACAATGACTATTATTCCTGTTTTAGAGACAAAGACCTGACAGTTGACATAATTTGCCTGATGTCACACCACTAGTAGTTAGTGGCTTGGCCAAGATTAAACACAAGCAGTTTGAAATGCAATGCACAGGCCTCACCAGTAACACAAAAGGTTCCCAGAGAAAGTGGCATCTGGGTTGGGCCTTCAGGGGCAGCCCCCATCCCCAGGACTCCCGGGAACTGGTAAAGACTGGGATATGCACTCTGTAGAAGGAATTAGGGAGCAAATTAGGACCAAACTCATGAGGACAACCTCAAGAGACTGTGCGTCTAACTTTGCCAGGGAGGCATGTGCCATGTGGATGGAACTTTCTAGGGCTGGCTTCCATCCTCTGGATCCTGGGTGGGAGGCAGGCTGTGTGCTGGAGACCCAAAAAGAAGGGAAAGGGTTTCAGCTAGCAGTAGTGTGGCCCGAGACTGGCCCTGGGTGCTGGCTGGATAGAGAAAGGAGGATTAAGCCTGAAGTAAGGGGATGACCCCTGGATGGTCCCAGTACTGGGAGAGCCCCAGCCATCGGCCTTTCTAGAAGTCTTCCCTCTTCTTATTTCATTAATGATAGATTACCCCCCTTCTCCCTCATGTAGGGCCCTGTGGGAGATGACAGAGAACTCCCAATATGGGTTCCTGTCCCCCAGGATTTCACACTGGGAGACTTCATAATAAAAAGATGTAAGGCCACTCGAGAATAAATATTAAGGTCTCAGTAAAACTGCAAGAAAATAAATAAAAATAATAAGGTTTCCATCTAGTCAAGTGCATTTAGGTACGTTTTAAGAGTAATGGAGTTATGGGGCAGAGAGGTGGAAGGAAGGTCCAAGTTCAAACTCTGCAAGGAGAGAAGAAACCAAGCAGCCATAAGGATGCCAGGCACATAGGAGATGAGGGCTCAATACAAATTACTGTGCACCAGGAATCTTCCCAACATTTCCTCATCTAATCTTTACAACGCTTAGGAAGTGGGCGATATCCTCCCCTTTAACAGATGATAAAATTGAGACACTAAAGAGGCTAAGTAACTTGCTCAAAGTCACACAGCTAGTAAGAGGCAGAGCCCAAGTAACTTGGGGTCTATCGCACAGTAAAGTGGTTTTACCACTTGGAGATAAAAAGAGATGAAAGCAAAAAATGACTTAATAGCTGCTGTCAATCCCAGCACCGGGATAAAGTAGCAAAAAACTGCCTAAATATAAAAGTACTGAGCATACAGTGCAAAAATCCCGAGGTTCTTTTAAATTGTGTCTAGACACAATCTCGATCACAAACCTGAGAAAGCACCAGTGTAATTAATTCTCATTGCATATCCACGCTGTGCTACAGCTAGATGCAATTCAAGTCAGTGTTGAATTCTTTCCCAGCGCGATGACCTCTGCAAAAGGGAGATGCGCCGACTCTTGCTAGTTCAGCAAACTATGCTCTAATCTCAACACCGCCACCCACCACCAACACCGAAGCCGCGAGTAGACAGGCCCCAGAAGGCGGGATTCCTAGCTGCACCCCCATCGCCTTGCACGCTCCGATCCTCACCCCTTCCGGGCCTTTCATCCCTGTGCATTCTCAGCAAGTGCCCAGCTCGGGGGGGGGGGGGGGGGGGGGGGGAGGTGCGCTCCCTGGAGGACGTGGCCCTTACTTTGGTGTAGGCGGGCGACCCTTTGCCCAGGAAGAGGGTGTCGGAGTGGGGCCAAGCGAAGCAGGCCTCCGGGGGCCCTGCCAGGTCTGGAGCACAAAATGCGAAGCGACAGCAGGCAGCGCAGCGAGCCGGGCGCAGGGTCCCGGGCCAGCCCCAGGAGGGGCCGTCGGAGCGTGCCGAGGCAGCCACCCGAGCTTCCCGAGGGAGAGCACGGCCCGCGCGCACGGGCGGGGCGGGGCGGGGGCGGCCGGCGGCCGCGGGTGAAGCCCCGGGGCCAGCACACAATGGGCTGGGGCGCGAGGCCAGGCGCCCGGCCAACTCGCCGCCGCACCACGTGGGCCGCAGAGCGCGCCGGGCCAGAAGCGGCCCGTCGGCCCAGGCCGGGCGCGGCGCGGCGTACGTGCGCGCGCGCGCGCGTGCGTGCGTGCGATTTGCGATCAGGCGGCGCGGCGGACAGCCCCGGCGGCGGGGCGGGGGGGAGTTATATTGCGGGGTCCTTCCTCGCTCACCCTGGTTCCTCTCGGAGCGGAGACGGCAAATGGCGGACTTTGATACCTACGACGATCGGGCCTACAGCAGCTTCGGCGGCGGCAGAGGGTGAGGCGGGCGTGCGCGGGCCCCGGCCGGGCGCGGGGGGCGGGCGGAGTCAGGGGCCCCGGGGCGGCGGCCTTCCCGCGCTCACCCGGGGTGGCGGGCGGTAGGGGGCCCGGCTGGGCCCGCGGAGGCCTGGGAGAGGCGCCTGGAGGGCCGGGGCCTGGAAATGGCGCGCTCCGGGAGGGGGCGGCGGCGGTTAGGCTCCCCGGTGTCTTGCTTGCGGCGCAAATGCGTCCTTGGGTCTCCTGCCGCCGCCGACGTGTCGTCTTTGCCCTGCCTCGGCCGCAGGGCCAGGCCGCAGCGGCACTGAGCGCCCCGGAGGACGAGCTCCCGCTTCCAACCCCATCCCCCAGTACGGCAGGGCCAGCGCGGGGCTCTGCTGCAACGCGCGGTGGGGGCCGCGGCCTGCCCCGCTCGGGTCTCGGTCGGGGTCCCGGCCTCCTGTGGTCCGCCTGACCTGCAGGTTCCCTGGCCTGCTTCGCCGGGAGGCCAGCGGACTGGGTAAGGTCGGGAGGGCGAGAGAGGGGTGAGTCCCTTCCCTTACGTGTGAAGCAGGGATTTGGCGGCTAGAGCTCGGGAATGGTCCGAAAAGGAAATACATAATAGCATTTTTTATTTTGCTGTCTCTTGGGTCAGAGTGCCTTATTGACAGGTGCTGCGTGCTTGCCGGCAGAAAATTTTTTATTTCTCCCTAGTTTCTCCTCCTGACCTGGGGAAGGAATCGCAGTTAGCCTCGTTCTGATTTTGGTCTTATACAGGCTATATATAATTGAGACACCTCGTTTAAAAGAGAAATTCTTGACTGGTGAATAAGAAGCTTATAGTGTTTAATTTCAGGAATCCGTCCTAGGTTTTTGGTGTTTTTAATACAAGTTCCCTCATACAGAATTTAGAAGATAGGCTATAAACATCTTGCTGTTTGTCAAGGACACACTTGGCCATTGTGTACTTTTAACAGAAAGGATTACTTTCCCAGGATAACACCACAATAGTACCTACTGAGGTGTCCAGTCTCCTGGGTTTCAATCCCAAACGTATCTTTGTTTGGTGAAGAATGATCTTTTAATACCTTGGTTTGGGACTGGCTCAAACAAAGGCTTGTTTGGGTACGGGAATGTACCTAATATTAATGACACTAGAACATGGAAGTTGGGGAAGGTGGAGCCACCTGTTATTTCAAAGAATATTTTATTTGCTAATAAAAAAGAAATAGATGTTGGATGACATGTGAAAGTATTGCCTTTGGGGTAGGTTTCTAGACATCAAATTTGCAGTTCAGTCATCTTGAAATTTAATAACCGGGATTTTTTTTTTCCAGTTTCAAGAAACATTTGGAAGTGCCCAGGAAAACGCTTAAACAGTGGTTTGATTTAAGGCAGATCCAAGGAGTTTTAGTTGGTTTGGGACTACAATAAGTTAGTCATATTATACTGAATCTGCGGTTTGGAGTTTGGTTTGAGTTTTTTTTCCTTATTCTGCCTTTTGACAGATTTGCGAAGTGTTCTGGCGACTTGAGGTGTTTGAGTCAGACTTTTAGTGGATGTCACATTTTGACAGTTGGGATGCTTTGAACAATAGCAAGTGGTCAAAATTCTCTCACGATGCTCTTCATTTCAAACATCAAAAGACAAAAAATGTTAGCCATGTGTCCAGATGTACTCCAACAACTGGTGTGAGAAAATAAGCTAGCCACTCTGCATCTCCTAAGCTTTCTGATAAAAAGTCATTTTACTGTTAAAAATCTTCCACATCTGATCTTGTTGTTTTCCATTTGACTTCAAATCCCTGTAAAACTACATGGGAAATAACTACTCAGATTCCTAAAAGTAGTTCTAAAAACCTATTGGTGAGTTTGTGTGTTCATGTAAACAGTGTCTGGAGTGGGTCCAGAAACTTCACAGAGGACCAGGCATGCAGCGTTTGGTCCGGGCCAAAGCTTTCCTATTCCAGCATCAATGTTAATTTTAATTTCGTTAGATCTGGAGTTATCAGTTACTGGTTTCTCTGAAATGTAGCAAGATGGTAGGCTAGTTGATAACCTTCAGTGATCATTTCTACTGTTACGTGAATTATGTTTTACGTCAACAAATGTCTCAGTGCTGTTTGCTTATGTTCAGATATAATGCTTAGGCATTTTAGAAGATTGTCACTTCCGGAAAGCCAGTCTTGCATTGCTGTGTTTGGTACTTTTGTACCAAGAGATCTTCCCTCTAGTCTAAAACACCTTAGCTAAGTAAGAGATCTCAACTCTAAGCCACTTGGGTCACAGACGAAAGAAATAGGAGGTTTGAAATGCACGGTCATAATCTAAAAACTTGGTTTTAATAATTATACGTTCCCTGTAAGTTTATTTTGTAGTTGTATGTAGTAACCAATGCTGTTGTCAGGAAGCAATGTTAAGCTACTGCTCTACTTTCTCAACATATAGAGGCATGACCCGGCAGCCAGAGAGACCTGGGGACTGCGTTGTTGCCCAAAAAACAAGTCCAATCAGAATTCCAAATTATGTAGTTGATTGTACTAGATCTGGAGTGTATTTGTTCTGCAGTTTGCTGAATTTTCTTTCCTGGGTTTTAATTTTTCATTTGCCATTGGCGATTAAGTGGAGAGTAACAGTGATTTTTACATTTCTAACTACAACATGCTTTTGAGTGCTCCACCTAAAACTTTACATCAATTCTGAGAATCAGATTGGAACTTGGAGGTAGCAAGAATTGAGATTGCTGAGAATGGTACCAACTGAAAAGTAGTAAAACTACACATTTAAGTATTCATCAAGTTCCAGTTCGGGGCGGTGGGGCGGGGATTGGAATTCTAACTTAGGCATCTCTGTCTAAATCTCTAAGCATATTTTAAGACTAATAAGGGGAAAGCAGTGTATAAAAACAGTAGCTATTTGCACTGATCATGGTAGAATTCATAAAAGTATTAAAAAGCTTATTTTAGGGCGCCTGGGTGGCTCAGTTGGTTAGGCGACTGCCTTCGGCTCAGGTCATGATCCTGGAGTCCCTGGATCGAGTCCCGCATCGGGCTCCCTGCTCGGCAGGGAGTCTGCTTCTCCCTCTGACCCTCCCCCCTCTCATGTGCTCTCTCTCATTCTCTCTCTCAAATAAATAAATAAATAATCTTTTAAAAAAAAAAAGCTTATTTTAAAATCCTGTTTGCCTACCAAATGACAAGTAGTTTGGGGTTATTGTCATCTTCCTCTCCACTACCTAATCTCCCAGTGCTTGATGCTAAATCATTATCTTCTATGAAATACATGGTTTTACCAAGAACCTCTGACACAGTTTGGGGAAAAGGCCTAGCTTTGGATTGGAATCAGGCAGACAGGACAGAGGTCAAGTGTCAGCTGAGCTTTGAGCCACGAATTAGCTGTGGGATCTGGAACAAGTTACTTTATCTCTCTGAGCCTCATTTTCCCCACGTGTAAGATAAAAACTCCTCTAAGGCTATTGGGAGTATTCAGTGAAATGTCTCAAGCATGCAGCACAGTGTCTGGTACACTTAATAATTTGTAGCTCTTGATTTATAATTTTTTAGTTCTTAAAATATTTCCCTTGCATCAGTAAGAATGGGAAAAGTTCTGTTGAGTTAACGAGTGAGTTTTTACTTTCTTGGCTGTATTTCTAAAGCCAAGTAAGCGAAATCTATTCAGTTTATAGGTATAAAGTATTTGTTCTTGAAGGTTATTGGTTTGTTGCAGAATTTATGCTTGGAATATTCAGTGTAAGTGCTTCTGAGATTTCTAAAAACTTTCTTAATATTTCTATTTGAAATTAACCTTTAGTGTTCTGGGAGGACATCACGCAAATTCAAGTAGTCTTCCCAGAAACTTGGAACATGTAAAACATTGGCGCGGGAGGGGTATCAGTCCTAGTTTAGACTCCTATCATCCAGTTTCCAGCTCCCCCTAGAAATAGAAGAGAGGGTTGGGTAGGAGAGCATGTCATGCCTCTGCATTTCATTTGTACAGCTGGTTAGACCTGCATACTCAGGCCACGAAATAAGTGATTGCTCGATTTTGATAGAACCTAACAGCTGTAAGACCTAAGTTGTCTTTTTTAATCGAATGTCCTTGGTTCTTTGAAGTTTTTCCCATGTCATGATTTCTAAAATGTTCTTGATGGGACCCTCTGGATGTGCTCCAGTATGTTGATACTCCATTGAAAACATGGCACCTCCAGTTAAGCCTTGTATTCCAGTATGGGGTACATGGTACCTATAGAGTACAGGGTACATAGTTCAAATGGATTCTTTACCAGTGCATGATCTTGTAACATGATGGATTGGTTATTATTATTATTATTGAGTTATGCAGATCTTCCCAATGTCGGCACATTTCGTTATACAGTATCAGAAATCATGTTTATTAATATCACCATTGATTTTATCAGAAAAATTTCAGGTATTATGAGGCTGTCAAGCTCATGTTGATGGATACAAGTTTTCTAAAATTTTACTTTTTGCTTAAAAGCCCAGTCTGCATTTTATCATTGGTAACAGATACTGTTAGTTTTCCTTTTTTTTTTTTTTTTTTTTAAGGATTTTATTTATTCATTTGAGACACAGGCAGGGAGAGAGACAGAGGGAGAGGAAGAAGCAGGCTCCCCGCTGAGCCAGGAGCCAGATGCGGGGCTCGATCCCAGGACCCTGGGATCCGGACCTGAGCAGAAAGCAGATGCTTAACCATCTGAGCCACCTGGGGCGCCCACTGTTTTCCTTGAAGTGACAGGCTCACTTCATTTTCAAGAAAATGTCTGCCAAGGGGGCACATGGGTGGCTCAGTCCATTGGGCATCTGGTCATGGTCTCAGGGTCCTGGTATCCAGCCCCAGGTCAGCCTCCAAGATCAGTGGGGAGTCTGCTTGTCCCTCTCCCTCTGCTGCTCCCCCTGCTTGTGCTCTCTCTCTCAAATAAATCTTTTTTTAAAGATTTTATTTATTAACAGAGAGAGACAGCGAGAGAGGGAACACAAGCAGGGGGAAGTGGGAGAGGGAGAAG